CCCGCCCCCGGGCTGGGGCGGGCCCCGCCAGCCACAGCCCCCACGTCCTCCCCAAAAGCAGGGAGAGGGGAGGGAGCAGAGCAGGGCCACGCATCACCCATCCCTCCGCAGTACCAAGCCGGCGTTGCACAGACCGCTGGAGGCTTCATGCAGAGGCCTGGGTGCACGTGCAGGCGGTTTTGGCCGAAGAACAGGACAGGCTAAACATGGCTGACATCTTGTCTCAGACCCCCAGCCCCAGGACTCGCGTGTAAAGAAGCCCCGCGCTCTTTTTTTCCTTGCTTGTGTGGGTCTCCTTCAAAGAAACGGATCAAAACCAACACTGCTTGAAGAAGGCCCTTCCTGCCGAAGCAGGGGCAAGGCAGCAGCGGTGCCCCCGGGCTGCGCACCCCTTCCCCAAGGCACAGGGACAGGAGCGGGGCAGCCGGGATGGCAATGCAGGTTTGCACCCCAGCAGAGAGCACCGTGGCAGCCCCAGGCTCTCCCAGGGTCTTCAGGGATGCCTGCAAGCTGCTCTGCCACCCAGCCAGGGTCAAAGCGGTGTGGAGGAGAGCAGCTGTCCCCCTGCCCAAGCCCCTCCGCTCAAGGAGACCTTGCAGAGCAGCTCCCCGGCGCCTTGTTTTTCTTGCGACGCTGCTGTGCAGAGCAGAGGGTGGGCGCGGCCCCCCCCCGCGCGCGCCGCCCCCAGCCAAACAAGGCTGCTGGGAGCGGGCTCCTGCGAAGACAGGCAACGCGTCAGGCAGGGGCCGCGCTGTGCCCCAGAGGGTGGGATGGAGGAGCCCGGAATGGGGACGGTGCGAGGCGCCCTCCCCGCTGCTGGGGCTCCCGCCTGGGGACCCGGCACCACCTGCACTACCACAGGCACGCGGGCAGAGGCCATGCGGAAAAAGCGCAGCTGGAGATGGAAAGCTCAAGCTTATGGTCACTCACACCATTTTGCTGTACATTTTTTTTTTTTCCAATGTTCGTTACTCCTCAGCCTGCAATAGCTGCCTGGGGCTGTGGTCCGAAGCCCCAGGGAAGCAGGCGAGCACCGTGCGCCCAGAAACCCCGCAAGGAACCACTCCCTGGTTTTGGAGGGGAGTGAGAGGAGCTCGTGTTGGCCTTGCAACCCCTTTTGCTGCCAAAGTGCAGTTCTGCAGCACGGCTCAGCCCTGTGGAGCCCTCCGTGCCTTCCCACCACCTCTCAAACCCGCTTCCTGGGGATTTTGGAGGTTTGGGTGAGGGCTGGAGCGGGCGGTGTGTGGGCAGAGCCGGTTCCCACCATTGCCATGGCTGGCGTCAGGGCCCGAGCCGCAGTGGCCAGGAGGAAGCTGGCAGAAGGTGCTGTGAGGAGCAGGTTTCCTTTCAGAGCTGGGGCAGCTGAGTTCAAACCTGGCCACTCAGCCAGGGAAAAGAAGTCAAATGACACCAAGTGAGCATTTACAGTAGGGTCTGGGGATTGTTTTTTTCTTTTAGTAGATGTTTGTTTGTTTGTTTGTTTTTCTGTAGGCAAGTAGTGACAAAGCCTGCTATTGCCATTAGGCTGTTCTGTGGTTTTTTTAGGTTTGTTTTTTTGCGCTTTTTGTTTTTTTTTTTCTTATTTCAAAGAGCATGTCTGAGAGCGGAAGGAGGGAAAGCAATGCCTGTAAGTTTTAGGCCAGCAGCCCAGTTAGGGCTTCAGCTAAGTCAGAGGAGTGCCCATAGGACCAGGAAAGTCACCCGCAGGAGACCTTTACAAAACAATAATTCGTAATTGCTGCATTAGCGCTAATTGAGCACCCCTGTTCACCCCTCCTGCCCCCAAGGAAGGCTGCTTCGCAGGGACAAATACCCGCTCCAGTAATGGCAGCCTCTCATTGCAACCCCTTCCTTTTTTTTTCCAGTGCCAGCTGGGTTGCCTTCCATGTAACGCATAGCTGGTGCCTGTTATTGTGAAAGACGGCATGGAAAATAAAGACTCATGAGTGTGGCCTCATGTTTAATTAGAAGCTAATGTGCTATTATTATTAGGCACTGAAGGAATGTACTGGTGAAGCAGTGCTTGAGCTGTCTTAAAAGCATTGTAGAAGTGTACTTTCCACTTGCCTAGCTGGCACGCACCGCCTTTCTTAGGAGGCCAAAGGCTGCTGTTGCCTGGTCTCACAGCTCCTCTGCAGCTCAGGCAAATACCGCTGGCATTACGGTGTCTCGCATCTCACTGTCGGCAGGACTTTGAAATAGCAGGGCATGGTGTGTGCCCAGCTAGGCCAAGTGTTGAATCACTGTGGCGCAGGGCTGGAGACTGAAGTGGTCTGTGGTTGAATTTGCTATAAAGAGAGACTGATTAAGTACAGCTTAATAAGACATGACAGCCTTATTGGTCTCAAAAGCAGCTGAAGGAAGCAGTAAGAAAATTACTGTTTTGTTTGTTTAATGAAAAGTTTCACTGTCAGCACCTTTTGGAAGCTTGCTGTGACTGCCATGCTCCGCGAAGAGGCCTGTATTGCTTTGTAACCTCCACGTGTTGGCGTGAGAGCGGCTTCGCCATCTATTCTTTAATACACTTTCATTAAGCAGTCAGTGAACTGTCTTGAAATCCAAAAAAAATTGAACTAGGGGAGGGGCACGCAGGTACCCAGAAGCCAGGAACAGTATCAAACAGCAGCAGGCTCCCTGCCCCCTCCGCCAGCACCCATCCTCCTTTGGTTATCGCCCTCAGCCACTGCCAAATCCAATGATAGGAGGTTGGGTTTTCATCTTTAAGAAAGTCTTGACATTCATGGAGCACTCTGACTCCCCAAATCAGACACTGAGGCAGCAGCAGCATTCTTATCGCTGCCATCAGGTATGTGCCAAACAGGTCTCCAGCTGCAGCAGCAGCTTTCCCGTCAGGGGAGGTGGGAGCAAAGCAGGACCCTGCTGCTTGCCGTGGCATGCGTGGTGGGCACGCACCACCATGGAGAGGAGAAGCACCTGTATGGGCAGCAGCCAACAGTGAAGATGCAAAAGCATTTGACGTGGCTTCAAGGTGCAGAAGAAAACTAAACTCCCTGAACAGTTACAGCAGAAGAGGAAAGCATCCCAGCTGTACATCAACATCTGACACACATAAAGGCTAGGTTATGGGCGGGGGTATTCTATAAATTTACTCTCTAAGTAACACCACCTCTGTTCAAGCTCCTTCCTTTCCATCTAAAAGCTAAGGGGAACGTGAAACTGAGGACAGCCTCACGTGTCAAGAGTTTGGGCCTCAACATCGCTAAACACATTACAGTTGTGTTGTGCTGCTGCTGCTCAATGGGTTTTCAGCTGCTTTAACAACTACAGAATACAGCCAGATATGGAACACAATCTTTTATTAATAACAGATTGCATCTGAACTTTGAAAAGAGTGAAATTAAAAGGTGTATTAAAACATACCCACTCTAAGCAATCTATTTTCTTCAGCAGAAAAAAGCATACAACAGGTAGAAATACTATATACACAGTATATCAGTGTAGTCATCAGCCCCTCCAAACATTGTTTTGGAAATTGGTATAACGGTGTTAGAATATACCAGCCAGTTACAGTCCAGAATGAATTTTAGCTTCTGACTTTTTCATTTAAGACAAACCGCTAAGCACCTAGGTCAGCTTGCTGATCACAGAGTCACAGAATGGTAGGGGTTGGAAGGGATTTCTGTGGGTCGTCTAGTCCAACCCTCCTGCCGAAGCAGGGTTACCTACAGTAGGTTGTAGAGGACCTTGTCCAGGCAGGGCTTGAATATCTCCAGAGAAGGAGACTAAATCCTCAGAATCCATCTGAGGTGGTACTGTATAGGAAGGTACCAGTGTTCAGCTTTCACTTCTGCTTACGTATTTTTGGGATCCTGCCTTGTTAATTTCTGCCTCGTCCATTTTGAGTACAGGTAAAATCAGCAATCAATGTCTCCATTAAACAGAGCACTTTCTGACACCAAAACATGATTAACTGTATCTTAAAGGGTCCTTTCTTCATCTCTTGCATTAATTTCAAGCAGATTCGTGCTGTGTTTATTTTACGCTGGAGCCCAAAATACAGATCACTGCAATAGACCAGGAATCTATGCCATCCTCCCCCCCTTTTTTTTATTGAGGAAAATAAAAAAGCAGAATGTTAGTTCTTAAATTAGTTTGGCACATTTAAAAAAAATTAAAAAAAGCAAGGGGGAAACCCACACATTGCATCCTTCTTTCACAACATCCTTGGGAGGAAAATGTCCATATACAGACAGGGCAGGCACAGGCAGAGTGACTGGTGCAGACCAGGGCATGGCAGACTCCAGCTCTCAGCCTTACATCTGGCCTCAGTCCACGTGCGCTCTCACCCGCACACTCAAACACAAGTAGCTTCTGCTGGTTTGCACCTCAGTCCACCAGCTGACGCTGCTGATGAGCGGGTCACTGCACAACTGGAGAAGGCCCTCACGAGTCAAGCTCCAGCAGCCCTCTCATACCAGGTAGAAAGGTAGCGAGTTCTGCACCTTTTGCTTAGGTCTCACTTAACAACACCGTGACTGAGCTCTTACTGCTCTGCTGAGCAAGCCGTAGCAGGGTCTGACATGTGGGCCTTTGCATGTCAGTGTGAGCCCCGTGCTTCAGAAGAACCTCAACTGTTTTTGTGTGCCCTCCTCGTGCAGCCAGATGAAGAGCTGTCAACCCTTCACTGTCAGCAAAATTGATATTTTCTGAACTGACAAGTTGTTCTACTACTTCAGAGTGCCCGTTTTCTGCAGCAAGATGTAACGCTGTCCTGTTTAAAGGGCCTCTGGCTAGCACACTGGCCCTTTCATCTATCAGCAACTTCGTTGTTGCTAAATGGCCGCTGCGAGATGCCAAGTGCAGAGCAGTGTATCCTTCCGCTGTTGCTGCCTCAATGTCTGCACCGTGTTTAAGGAGCAACCTCGAGGTGCTTGTGTGGCCAGTTTCAGCAGCTATGTGGAGAGCAGTCTGCAAGAGCGCGTTCTGTATGTTGACATCTGACTCCAGGTCTATAAGAAGGCGAGCAACACGGTAGTGTCCTCGTTGAGCAGCCAAGTGTAGCGAGGTCCTTCCATCCACGGTCTGCACGTCGACGTTTGCACCCTGCTGTTTGGCCAGAAGCTTTACGATGGGCAGATGACCTTGCCAGGCAGCATAGTGCAGTGGCACCCAGTCATCCTTTCCTTTGATGTTCACATTAACGCCTCTTCTCAGTAGGATCCGCACAATGTTCTCTTGGCCATACTGACAGGCTATGTGGATGGGGGCTCTGCCTTCAAAATCTACCTCATTTAAGGATGCATTCTTATCAAGCAGCATTTTGGTGCTGAAATCATCCCCGTTTTGGGCAGCAAAGTGAAGAGCAGTCCACTGATCCTCATCTTTGGCATTAACATTGATTTTCCTAGCCATAATCAGCTCCACGATGCTTTTAACTTTCTTCTCAATGGCTATGTGAAGAGGGGTGGATCCCTTCTTGTTGGTGAGGTTAGGATTAGCATTGTACAGGAGGAGCCATTTGACACATTCTTCTTGACCAGCTTCAACAGCCAAGTGCAAAAGACTGCAGTTCCCATCTAAAACAATATCAACATCTTGAGGCTGGAGGATCTTCATCAGCTTGCTGGTATCACCAGATAAAATGGCCTCCGTTAGCTTCCTCTTCTGTATGTCTGTAGTACCAATATCTAGGTGGATATAAAGAAGAAATTTTTTACAATGACGGTGGTGAAACACTGGCACAGGTTGCCCAGAGAGGTAGTAGAGGCCCCATCCCTGGAAACATTCAAGGCCAGGTTGGATGGGGCTCTGAGCAACCTGATCAACCTGATCCCATTGCTCACTGCGGGGGAGGTTGGACTAGATGACCTCTAAAGGTCCCTTCCAACCCAAACCATTCTATGATTCCATGAAAAAGACACCATCACAATTCTGATACCCATCAAACCTTAGTTGCCCACAGCTAACATATCTTGTGGCTTCAGCAATGGCTTGACTATAAAGAAATCCACTCCCCCACTAGTTTCAGAACAATTTTGGGTCAAATTTGGAGCCCCACTTACTCTTATTCTGTTTCTTGTGAAGTGAAGGAGAAACAATGCTGTGGTTGATCTCCCTGCGCTAATCATTGTTTGCCTAACTGGAAAACAGGTGCCCATTTTTTACAGCACTGGATTGAAAAGGGAGGGCCGCATGTGCAACAGCGGGGGTCTTTATAACAGTGTTCGTGGGGGCTGCTGAGAAGGTGGCTTGAGTCTTATCAAAAAAAAACCAAAACAAAACAAACCACAACACAAAAAAACGGTGCTCAGACTTGGGCTCAATATAACTGAAAAAGCCATAAACTCCGCTGACCTGGCTGGGCATTGGCTTTTGTCCCGCTTCGAGTGGGACACTAGACTAGGTGACCTCCCTTCCAACCAACCTCTACATGACAGACTCTGTAATTTTTAATCAGTCATTGACAGGAATTCACGTCTCTTCTATGAGATTTATTACTTGTCCTTAGATCATGTTTGGGAACCACCTCTTTTTTTTTCTTTTTTTTTAAATTACCACCTCCAGTAAACAAATTCCTAGTGCTGACAGCAAGAGAAAGCAAGGCTAACAGTGATTTCCAGAACGCTATTCTTTACCTGACTACTCTCCAACTCACTGACTCCCATGCCCCAGTCTAAACAACTACAAACAAAACAACAACAAAGACAAACCTGACCATTACCTGAACTCTCCCTTTCAAAGGAAAGGGAAAGGGAGCCTCTGGATGAAAAAGCTGAATCTACAGATGAAACTCCTGAAAGCCGCTTGTCACTGGAGGCAAGCTTGGACTCAGAAGAGCTGCGGCTGAGATCCTCAGGGCCTTCCATAGTCTGTGAAATCCCCGAATCCAGCTGGGACAACAACTCCGAGAGACTGTAATCCTTCACTGACGGTAGAGCAGGCTCCTGCTTTGGCTGGGGTACCGCAGACATCCCCTTCAAGAGAAGCACACGAGCTTTTTAGCAAGGTCAGTGAAGAAAATGGAGAATGAGGCCTTACTAAGCTCGTTAGTTTGCAGGTATCCTTTAAGCTATTATTCATATTAAATGAAACCTATGAATTTTCAGATGCAGGAGGGCAGCTTTCATCAGCACTCACACAGCCATTAAAGCCGCCTGGCTCTTCTGTCTACAGCGTTTTTTAAGATCAGTCACACCCACATAGTTCCAGCCTTTATTTCCTAACTGTCCTGCTCTCCCTCAACAGTTTGAGAGCCGCTTGCACTGTGCTGAGGTTCTCCTGAGCTGGTCCATGCATCTGCTGTCACTTTTGCATTCCAGTCCTTCACCAAGACCTGCTTCTGCCAGGCAAGCAGGTCCTCAAAAGCAGCAAAGAGAAGGTCGCCTGGGAAGTCACAGGTCACAGAGGAGCCCGCTCCTCACTAAACCTATTGCACTTGAACAAGAGTCGGCAAGAACAAATACCTCAGGCTGCTGCTCTGGGGAATTCTTGGTGTCCAGGTCCTGAGTTATCATCTCTTTGGTTTCATCTTCTGGTTTTTCACAAAGGGCCTCTGTTTCTGAAGTGATTTCTTTGAAGAAAGCAAGAGAAGGTTTTGAGGGTTTGTTTTTTGTTTGTTTGTTTGTTTTTATAGGAGACTTAGATCTGAGGTGCCCTGCTGCCTTTCTCTATCATTAAGCGCGTAACAGCTTCGAGATACTGTGGGAGAAAGACTCAAATTTTAAGGATTCCATCTAACACCTCCTCAGCAGGTACAAGGGTGTAGCTAAGCAAAGAGTGCACAGGGCTGCCTGAACAATTGATTTTCAAATTCAGACCAGACTGATGCTACGTGGCGGCTATGCTGCAGGACTGTGAAATGGGAACCAGTCTACTGCTGGCAGACTTCAACATATGTTTTTAAAAAGGTAGGATCCCTCTTCCCTTCAGTCCCCATACCTCATTTGGGCAGGAGGAGAGGGAGGATGCAAATCTCTCCCATTACTGCTAAACGAAGCTACCTGGACATAGCACTGGCTGCACCCTTCTGTGCATTTGAATTCATAACAGGTGCTTTGGGCAAGTTCAAACCTTTCACCAGAGTTGCCTTTTACTGGCAGAAAAATGATGGTACAAGTTGTTTTGTTACAAGAAAACAATTTCTCAGCATACAACAGTAAATGTCAAGAGCCATGGCCTTCAATGCTTTGGTATGGTGAAAGCCACACCAGCTGCAGCTTGGCATGTGCCCTGATACACACAATCAGAAATGAACATAAGGGCTCATTCCTGACGTGTTTACATAACATCGCCATGGTCAGACTTGTCCCCAGATAATCCCTTCCTCCACAAATGAATAAGCGCCCTGTATCATTGTCTCTACCATACAATGTGCTCTATTTGTTCTGTCACAGAGGCTCACAGCATTTATCCCAAGGATTAAGAGAGTCCTGAGCAATAACGTGACTCACAGAAGAATAAATGGGCAGCCAAGTTACGAGGAAATCTTACCTTGAAATGTTGGACGTTCACCAGGATCATCTTGCCAACATTTTTGCATCAGTTTGATCAAGTTATTACATGAATGAGGTCTGGATTTGGAAACAGCAGGTAGCTCTGGGCGGTGGCCTTTAACTACTTTTACCATAATATGTAAAATGTTGTTTTCCTCTGTAAAGCAAAAAGCACACAAATCAAGCTCTCCCAGCAAAAGGAATGGTTTCTCTTTTATCTAAGAGCATTAACAGTGTATTAGACTACAACTCTGTTTTCATGCATTTTTTCTAGATTTAGAGTGCTTTCTTTTTCCCTGTTGATAAAAGAAGTTGGTCTTCTGCTCCCACAATACACTCGTCAATGCAGTAACACCTACTTCCCATGCATCAGTTAAAAACAATTGTCAGAGGGTGACTGTGTTCTTTTTCCATCCATAAAAGACACAGAACCAAAGAAAAAAACTCGAACAGTTCTTTGCTACCTCTCTTTGCATTTCCGTATCTGCTGTAAGAAAGCCGAACCACAGCTTTTCTTTAGACCAGGGGCCTGAACATTGCATAAAGGTGAAGGAAGAACACAAATCAAGCGGTGCAGTAGTGTGGCTCTTGACTCTGAAGTCAACCATTGGGTGCTCTCACTTGGAGAAAAACTAATAGCAGGCTGGAACCTGTTCAGACATGTTTGCTATACATAGGCTAGTCATACACACAGGAAAAGTCTTAAAGCATAAATAGCTGCCTGCTGATCGGTACATTTACTGTGGGGTGGAACAAGGCTTATTCTCACAGACAGCTTGCCTTTTTTTTTTTTTTTTTTTAATAG